GGATGGATGGATGATGGGTGGATGATGGGTGGATGGATGGATGGATGGATGGATGGATGGATGGATGGATGGATGGATGGATGATGGATGGATGGATGGATGGAGGGATGGATGGATGGATGGATGGGTGAGGGATGGATGGATGGGTGAGGGATGGATGATGGATGGATGGATGGATGATGGATGGATGGATGGATGGATGGATGGATGGATGGTGGATGGATGGATGGATGATGGATGGATGGATGGATGGATGGATGGATGGATGGTGGATGGATGGATGGATGGATGGATGGATGGATGGATGGATGGATGGATGGAGTAGAGCACAGACATTGCCCTGCCCCAGGAGGAGGAGATCTGACCTGTGGAATGCTCCAGGAATGTCATCCAGATCAGCAAACCTGGGGGTCTAGGGACACCCTACATTTCTCTTCACTAAGAAATTGGCAGAATTACAGAAAATTGGCATCTTTTTTTGAAAGCTCTGCTATCTGGATGCCTCCTTTCATGCCAACATTTATTATTTCTCCCCTTGTGCCCACCCTCGACAGTGACTGCAGGAAAACTCCCTAACCATGGTGTATGACAGCTATTGCAAGAGGCAGCTTTATTAGTCAGTAGAAAAAACAGTCAAACCATTTACTGAAAATCTCTTTTACAACATTCTCTTGGTTTAGTGAACCGTGCCCAGAAAAACCTCAGCAGGAGGAAATGCACCCATTTGCACTATTCTAAATTATTTCTCCTGGCAAAAAAGCATTGCTAAGTTTTGCCTGTCAAAACTCTCTTTGCTCTCTGAAATGTTCATGGCAAGAGCAAAGCTTGTTTGGCTCATTCACCAGTCCAGGAAACTCCAGGAAAGTCTTTTTTTCCACTTCTACTTTCTAAGTCTCCAGATTGTGAGAGCACTTAATTTAGCACATGCATCTCAAATGAAAAGATGAGGCTGATCCAGTACCAGGTGTTTAAATTGTTGCCTCTTCAAGAAGAGCCAGCCTTAGGAGGTGCTGTCACAGTTTATTTTCAAGTCAGCACTAACCACTGCTTGAGCAGACACTGAGGGCCAGATCTGATATAACAGAAAATCAGGTTAAATAAACTAAAAAGATTTATTCTACTCCCAGGCTGTGTTTTAGGTATATTTATCACCTCAAACCACTTTACCTCTAGCAGACCTCCAGTTTAAGGAGATGAGAGTCAGCCTCTCAAGCATTCCAAACCTCTCCAGGAGCTGAGTTCATATTTTCCAGAGAAAGCACATGAAGAAATTACACCCACAACAAAAACAGAGAACTGCTTTTCCACCATTTCATACTCAAATGAGGGTTGTTTATCTGTCTTCTAATATGCAACACACACTAGGAGATTTTCACTGTACACTAACACATAGACTTGGTATGATCAATATATAATGATTATTAATAATAATAATAATAATAATAATAATAATAATAATAATAATAATAATAGTATAGAAAGCAACCCAACTTTGTAGAAGAAAAGTCTGTTTCTCTGGGGTAAATGAAGCAGGTTCTTACAGAGACCTTCAGTCATATTTTTAACCATTAGCACTGAATCCTGGTATTCTGCTTAAGAACAATCAGGGTAGTGGGTTTGTCATACAGGTGATAAAAAGGAATCTCTTGTTTCACATCAGTAAAAAGTCTGTTCAGCCATTTCACAGTGGTTTATTTTCCTCATTGAAGAAAAAAAACAAAAAACCCAAGCTGCTGTGCCACCCCTCATGAAATGTCCCTTCAGGGAAGAGATTCCGATTCCCAGGAAAAAAGAAAGGATGTAGAGGTGGCATGGCAAAAGGAAGATGCTGAAGATGTGATTATTTTCAAAAGTAAAGATAATATCCTGCCCCTGATTTACACAAACCTTTCCTGATACTGGTGTGATCTTGGTTTGCCAATCTCTGTCCAGAGTTATCACCAAGACCTCCAAGCTTTTTAATGGCTTTGAATTTTTCTAAATCTCCCCCAAACATCCCTGCTGGTTCCACTCTTGTTACCTGCAGCATCTCAGCTGCTCACATGCCAAATAATATCAGTGCTACCACCAAGGCAGATGAAATTGTAACAAAAAACCTGCAGAATCTGAAATTAAAGAAAACTCTATCAAAACTCAGCTGCTCTGGTGTAACAGCCCTCCTCCAGTTTTTTCTTCTTTGTCACTGTCTTTCAAAGCCCACACACACAAAATATGAGTTTCTCTTTATGTGTTTCTCTTTACTGAGTGTGTCATAAGAAAGCAGAGAAATAAACTGATATGAAGATCCCACAACGTGGGTCCCTTCTGCTGCTGTTCACGCTTTTCATTGCATCTCGCCTTGTTTAACTGGAATCCAAAGCAAACAGAGAGAAAAGAGACTCATGAAAAAAAAAAATTAAAAATAAAGCTGTATCTGACCATCTGCTCCCACAAGGAAATGAACAATTATTGAAACACAATGAAGTAAAAGCTTTTTTTCTTTTTTTCATGCAATTACTTACAAGCACTGCCAGAGTCAGGGTGTACAGGGCACAGTGATATAAAGAACAAGAGTTCATGTTCCAAAGCAAGAGCCAGACCTCACTTCTTCAGCTTCTCTGAGCATCTTTCACCTGCTTTTTGGCTTCTCTTTCTCCTCTCAGTTGCTGATTTGAAGCATTTATCTTTTTGCACAGAAATGACGTAACAGGGATGTGAAGTGGGAGATAAATATTAACAATTCTCCACGCTCTGTTCAAGCTTTGCAACTTTTTGACTTTGCTCAAAGACTGGACTGGATGAGTTGAGTGATTGATGCCAGGATTATGGGATTTCTCTATGCTCCTGGCAAGACTCATTTCTTTCTTTTAACACAAAATGGTTTTGGGGGGATGGACAGCTCTAAATGTTACTAATCCCATATTAAATCAACATGATTGGCATAAGAGAAACACTCTCTCTAAAGTTATTATCAATCTTTTATAATGCAATCTTTCTCTTATGTGGGTCCAGTGTATCTGGGTGTTTTTATGGAGTATAATGACCACAGTGCTGCACTTTAAAATGCAAAATCAAACCCACTGACAGGCATGTGAACATAAATTTTGCTGTGTACCTGTTGGGGCACTGAGTTGAAGGCAAAATTCACAGAGGGTTCTTCCCAGTTTGCTTCAGACTTGTGAAAGTTCAGTGTCTGAATGTCAATGAGTCAAGTCCTTTAGCCAAAGTCTAGAAATGCAAACGCTCAGTTCATTCATCTCATCCTGAGCTTCAAGGCAGGCCAGCTGAATCCCAGTCCAGAAATGTCTATTCTCACTCAGAGCTAAAGGAAAATTTATTTCATTTGTCTCTCAGTTTGTACCACCTTGAAGGCCTTAAAATTCCCCATCAACATTGGGCAAATGTCAACATTGCAAGATCAGAGATTCAGAGTATGAAATCCCTTTCAAATGTTGTTCTTTGCTCTTCTATTCTCATCTCATTCCATTCCTTAAATTAATTTATAACCCCAGCTCCCAACTTCCCACACAAAAGTCTATCCTACAACCCTACTTCCACCTCTGGCACTGCTCTTTGTCCATCAACCCTGCTCATTTTTTTCAATTATTTCAGATACTCTCTGTCTGCTTCCCTACACAGATTGTGGGAATGCTGAGAGCCTGGAAAGAAGCTCTCCCCTCCCAGAGTCACCACAGCTGTGAGGAGCTAAAGTTGTACCTACTTTTGGGAATGTCTGTGGGATTGAAGCCTCCAGGGCCTGGTTGTAGGTTGGGTCTGGGAGGGAACTGAGCATATCCAGTGCAAGAAAGTGTCTTTGGAGAGCTGAAGTGGGAAAATTTTCCTTGCAGTGTGTGCTTAAGGATTTATTTTATTCTCCTCTAAAGCCTTATACCTTCCTTAATTATGCTAACTTTCAAAGTCTTGCCTAAAACAAAATTAGAGCTGTGTTCCTGTCAGTTTTAATCAGCTCATTCCAGAGGATGAAGCCCTAGAATGGTAAATGAACACTTGTAAATGTATTTATCATGGGCAAATCTCATTCTTCTTCCTAAACTCATTTCAGAAGCTACAGAATCTTAAGAACTGCAAGATTTCCCTGCAGAGATGTAACAAGGAAAAAATCAGCCCATAATGCTAAATCTACTTTTTCAGTCAGTAAAGTTATGAAAAAAAGCTGGTAAGAGAAATTAAATCTACAAAGTTTTAATTCACCATCACACATACCTTCAAAATAATGTTTGCTGACAATATTCTGTTCTTACCTGCATTTTGCTGACTACCTTGTATTCCCATTTGGGGAAAATGTAAATATAATTGTCCTGAATTCAAAGTTCTTTCAGTAGTAAGACTATAACAGGGAGGTTTAGCTCTCTTACAAACATTTAATATTATTATTATTCCCTTGAAAATCTTATAAAACCATTGTGACCAGTGCTGTCATCACAAGCTCATGCCAGAATTTGGACACATTCCCCTCCTTCCCAAAAACATTGCAGATATAAGAAAAAAAAAATCTGACTGAGCATCCATCAGATTTTCTGCCATTTAAGGTTAATAACCTTTAGGCTGTCCCACTAATTATCTACTGACCATGCACCCCACAGACATTTCAACAGTGTTTGAAGAAGGATCATGAACAGACCCATTTCAGAGGAGCAACATCTCCCATTCCATTGGGATGCACTTTTTTGGTCCATGTATTAAAAAATAAATTGCCTCTGAGTAAGCTTCTGGTGTCCACATCAGAATTTTCCATTTCAGCCACCACATCTGAAGCACTCTGTGTGTTTATTCAGTGCTGTTGAAGTCATGGCTATAAAAACCACAGAAGGCATTGCCTGCCACTTTTCATCCTAGAAGGGAACACAGAGAAATCCCAGTGTAAGATATCTCAAAAGGTTTTCATTTTTCAGGCAGAATGAATATTGGTATGGAGGGGGTTTATGCTGAAATCTACAATATAGGAGCTCTGATCAGCATGGATCATTTTGGAAAACCTGGCTTTTCTGTGTTTTCAGCCTGATTCTGCCACTCTGCAGCTCAGACATTCCATTAAAATGAGTTCCTTCCTACTGTCGCTGTTGTGTGCAAATTCCCAGCTGTTTGTGGTTAAGGAGAAAGACGCGTCTAAAGGAAAATAATTGGCTTGTGGGTCTTTTTTATTATTATTATTTCATTTAAATAACTTTTCTTTTTTCATTTAAACAAAAAAACTTTCCACAATAACCAACAGAACTTCGAGCTGCTTAGCTTCACCATAAAAGCACATCTGAAGGACCAGTTTTCCACATTCTCACTTCCTACCAGTCCTTGAACAGCACCACCTCTGCAAGCCTGCTCCCACACTCCTCCTGAGCAGAGGCAGGCACGTAGTAGATCAGTAATTACTACATCTTCTCTCCACTCATCACCTGCACCATCAGCACCCTCTCTGTTCCAGCAGCTCCTCTGCCAAGTTTTCTAGGGGTGGCACTTTGCCTTCAGGATGGCACAGCTGCAGAGGACACACTGGACATGCAGTAAAAGGAGCTGCTTTTCTCCCCTTGAGCTTTCCAAGGTGAAAACCTGACATTTTCACAACTCTCTCAAGGATTTTCTTGCAGGTTTTTGTGGAATGGTTTTAGTTTTTGTTGAAAAGTTTGTATAGTTTATAAAATATTGGCTGATTTCACAATTGCTTGTTGCCTTCTCCTAGCCCTGCCATCCATGTTTCTGCACTCTTGTCCCTACACATAGAACAACATCCCAAAACTTATAAAAACCCCTTGGATTTTTTTTTTCCTACCACTTTTTCTCCCTCTACAACACCTCTCCATTATCACAGAATCACAGAATGCTTTGGCTTGGAAGGGACCTTAAAATCATCTGGTCCCAACCTTCCACAACACCAGGCTGCTCCAAGCCCCATCTAGGCTGGGCTTCAATACTTCCAGGAATGGGGTTTCCACGACTTCTCTGGGGAAACTCTTGTACTTACCAAGACATTTGCACATAGATTAATTTACAGCTGAAATGTTCAACAGGGCTGGACAGGGCTTGGAGCCACCTGGGATAGTGCAAAGTGTCCCTGTCCATGGCAGGGGGTTGGAACTGGATGGTGCCTTTTGATCTAAACCAGTCCATAATTCATGATTTTAGTTTTCTTATGATGATGGAAAGATGGAGGAAACCTTAACACTCTAAATTATTATTTTGCAATTTAACAAAAAAAAGGCGCTTACAACTTATTTCATTGACATATAAACCCCATGGATTTTCCAAAGCTAAAAGCAAACAATTCAAGTTGAATAGTTACAGCTTCTGAAATGACGTTGCTGCAGCTTCATATTTCCCAAAAATATGTCCCAAAATAGGTATAAAATTCAGTCCTGGGGGAAAAAAAGCTACAGGTGGCATTTTTCTTGAAGTCATTAATGCAACCAGCAGTGTCCAAAGTGAAAATGGAACTAGGAATGCTTCTGTGGGCTACCAAGGTCACCCTGATGGGCACAGACTGCTGTGGTGAAATTTGTAACACCGGAAGCTAATCTGCAGGGAAATAGAAGGAAATTTCAGTCTTTACCATTGTCTCACACAGCCTCTTATTGCCATGATGTTTCTCTAATACTATTGAAATTTAGAGGGAAGTTGTGGGAGGGGAGGAGGAAGGCTGGGCCTGTCATTTAACCACAGCTCCAAGAATAGGCGGTTTTGCTGTGCAGACGTGACGGATGAATGTTTCATTTCCCAGGAAAAAAGAGAATGTTCAAAACTTTACACAGCCCAGAGCTCAAAGAAGAATTATAAGTGAAGCCCTGAATTATCATTTTTTAAGATTGAAAAATATGCAGAGCCAATAATCATGCAGTCAAATTAATTTTTCCTTGCAGTGTAAGAGGTTGATCATTTTGCTCATTTTGCTCATGTCATGTATGAAATCAACTGATGGATTTCAACTAAAGCTGCTTAAACAGCACAAAATGTAGAGCAATAACTCTTTATCATGTGAAATTAAATCTGTTTAAGCACTAGAATATTGGGGCCTGTACCAGCGTGCTTGATTGGTTTTATTTCCACTGGGATAATTTTTTTGGCTTGGCAGCAAGGCTATGGCACAGCTACTTGCCCACACAGTGCTTCAGCTCTCCTTTCCTCTCCCATTTCAACTTCTTTTGGGCTGCTCCCTCCCTGCCACAGCTATTTGTGGGCATTGCAGGGAGCAGGAGGAGGGAGCTGATCCAGACTAGAAATACACATTTTTTTAATCCAGCAGAATCAGTTCCCAGGGCACCTTGCAAATGCTGGCAGTGGAAAAGAGAAGGCAGCCCCTGGTAGGAGAGTGGGGAAAGTTTTAGGAGAGGGCAGGTCCCCATGAGGTGATGTTTCCAGACAGACTTTGTCATTTGAGTGCTGCATTTAATATTTCTTTTAATGGGGTAAAACAAAAAAACCCAGAAGATTTTTGGATGCTGAAATATGGGAAGATGATTTCTGTGTGGTCCAAAATATCTCTCTCTCTTGCTCCTCTTTTAATTAGTTACTTTTTAGGACCTTTCTAGTTCTAAAGATTGCCCTTAAATTCACAATTCCTCATTATCTGCTGGTCATACTCAACCAGTG